TTTTAGGAATGTGTCATAAATTAAAATTACAAAACGTCCACTACTCCACGGCCTTATCCACTGGTAGGTTTGTAAATGAATCGAGCCGAGCTCGAGCTTAGAGTGCTCGCGCTCTAGCTCGAGCCTCTATCAAGCCGAGCCGAACTCAACTCGTTAAATAAACGAGTCAACAATTAAACTTGAGCCTTAACGACTTTATCTCGGGTCGAACTACGAAAAATTACATAAAATTATCTTTTCAGGCCTTAACGAGTCCTATTGAGCCGAGCCAAGCTCGGTTCGTTCACCAAACGAGCTTTAAATGAGCTCGAGCTCGGATCGTTAAGGCCTCGAACTCGAGCCTTAACGTGTCGAGCCGAGCCAGACTCGTTTAATTTAACACACTACCTAATGCATATCAAGAATTTTAATGCTTGGATACAACAATAAGATTTTGATTTTATATTAAAATAAATTTCTAATAAAATAAATAAAGTTCATTTAATATAAAAATAAGAGAAAGATATGCGAAGTGAACGAATAAGTAGATAAAATTGTAATTAAAATTTGCTTTGATGTATAAAAATAATTATTTAATTTTATTTAAATATACTGATAATTTGAAGATAATGTGGTTAAATTAAAGTTAAGTTACATTTTGAATATGAATTGAATATGGATTCAAAAAATTATGAACACCCCCCAAGTCACTGAAAATCATCCCTCAGAAAATAAAGGGAATTGTTCTTCCACTGGCCCAATCTCAAAACTAAATAAACATATAAAATGAGTTCATAATATTAGCAACATATTTATAAACTTCAATAATGTTATTTACAAAATCATATATATATATATAAAGGAAATTGAACTCTCCAAGTCCTTGAAATGCTTATATGAGTCAATTTCACAATTTTTAACTCAAAATTCAAAACATAGAATGTCAAAAATGGATTATTGGGACCCTAAAAACGAAAATCAAACCAAGAAATTCAAGCAGTACACGTGCTCAACCTAAACGATAATCAACCGATGACCATTCAAACAACACTACTCATATACTCATGCAAATACAATCAATTTAAGGACCCCACACCATAATTCAAATGAATGTAGACTATCTTCTCGAGAAGTTCTATAATTAGACTTCAGATGCTTCTTATCATAGTAAGCAAATCAAGCCAAAGAAAAAAGAGTAAAGAAGAAGTTACGCGTTCAAAAATGATCTGTCACCATATCACATTGTTGTCACCATATCAGGCAAATCAAAGTTTAACCAAAAATCATGCATGGGGCTTGCTCTCATGTTTGGCCACAAGATAAGACTTCAAAGTAACTCAATTTTCACAATGCCCCCAAGACAAAGGAAAAAAGTTCACCTTAAAACGTTTCTTCCTTGGACGCCTCCAAGAATAAGTACTTAGATCATTAAAGTACAAAAAAAACCGCCACCCATGTAGCAACTTTAGATGACCAGCTCATCTGAGATTTTAGATCATCTCAGTTCTGCTATTTTTCTCAGGTTTCTTCTCGTGTCCAGTAAGTGAATAATACCTTTCTTTAATCTTTACTCTCCTTAAGCTGCATTGAGAAAACACTGGTGGGGTAAGTACGGGACCTTTCATGTTGAACAACACAATCACAAGTAGCAAATTCTGAGTAATTATAACAGGGATACTTACGAGAACTACCCTTAAGATTTTGAATTGGTTGATATTATTAAATTCATCCCTGACTATACAAAATATTTAATTTACCATTAGATGAGGCAATAAATAATTTTAACAAAACTTGAGGGGCATAAATGTAGATTATTGTTTAAAAGTTGGCCATTTGAAGCATTTTGAACATCTAAGGGATTCAAATGTAAAGAATATTTTACTACCTCTGCATTTAACCAGCCAGCCCAATTATTGGAAGGTACAAAATGTACGAGGGGCCAACCTCAAGTGAATTTGCCAACTTCAAAATTTAGAAGCATGCTTGTGTAATGATTCCATAATAATGAAACTACCCAAATTGGACTTCTATTATTTCATGTTCGTTAAACACACACACACACACACACACACACACACTATAGATATTTAGGTGTTCAGGATACATCCATGGCAGCTGAACCCACCTCAATCGTGCAAAACTTTTCTTCACAGAAGTAAAATGTCATACAGCATCAGAACGACTTTCGCCACCATCTTTCTCCCCATTGGCCAACCCCGTCTGGCCAGTAAACTCATTCAGTTGACCTCCCCTTGCTGCATCTGTGCTGCCATCTGCATTAGCCGGAGCATCATCCAGTGTGGTTGCCCGTAAGGAGGACACCAGTGCACTCTCAGGTGCCGAACTTGAGGCATTAGTTCCGAAGTCCGAATTGCGCCTACCGGATGTGTTCACCCACTTACTCCACTCATTACGTCTCCTCACCTTCTCACCCTGCAAAACAAGGAGAAGAAAAAGAGGGATGCAAATGTAAATGATGGATTGTTTTAACTGGTGGTGATTACGGATAAGCAGATCCAGGAAATACTAGGAGAGATGTTGGAGAAAATAGAATATCCTCAATTAGGTAATTTGGATAGCCAAAAATTAAATTGGATGAAGATAATGCAAATATCAAGTGGAGTGCAGAAATAAAAGCTCACCTGTACTTCCACAACCGTAGAATATCTCAAGGAGTCCAAAATCACTGGGATATCTTTCGTCATTTGCTGAACCTGAAAACAGAAGATAAAAAGCAAACCTTGATCTGTGCATTGGACAATGGGCGTACAAATAAGCTTAATTATGACTAATGAATACAAATCAATGGACGGTTGAGTAGGCATAATTCACAAAATCATGGGAGGGAGTTAATCAATGTACCACCGCCACGGTCCATTCGATTCCCATCGCAAGAAGATAGATTATATGGTAAGACTTGAAGTATTAACTCGCCTAATAAATAACCCCACGAAATCCAAAAGATTATGTCAATCCTTGTTACCATAATCAAACATATCCAACCGAATCAATCAAATTAAATCCATAAGGATTTAAATTACTCATTTCAATCATTTGAAATAGCAAAACAATAAGAGAAAAAAAGGTTGAATGGCGATAATTAAATCTAGATAGAAAGGAAGACACATCTTATCAAATGTCACAAGAAGTTTCTTTGACAGCTAGGTACGTTGGCCATGCTATACTGAAATAGAACCTAGAAATCACTCAAAAAAGCGCAAGTTAGTGCACCAAAAAGACTCTACTTAGGATCACAGAAATATGGAAGGTTCATCTTATTTATGCTATATTTCAAAAAAAATGAGCACATTTGAGGCATGCAACAAATATCGGAAATGGGTTAATATCTCTGTGTGGTTCTTTATGGCATATAAATGTAATCATGATTGGAATTCATAGTCCTATTCCTATTACCAAGCTGCCCCACAACTCATTCACACAGCATGACAGTAAATTCAGGCCAATGATCATGCTTAGCATATAACTATTAGTTATAACCGGTCCAAACTCCAAATATAGGACCCTCACAGCTGGATCATCAAATAAACAGCAACATAACAAATCTTTATTCTGGTAGATACACGCAATAACCATTTGTTAAGAAATCACATTTATCTGTGGCAATAGAGAATTAGACGTAATAGTATATATAACAGATAAGTGCATAATTCGAAGGATCTTACTCGACGGAAGGAGGCAATCAAAGCAATGGGCACCCAACCCTGATCATCCATGTTGGACCTCAAATAATTATCTTTGACCAAATTATCATCACTGAGATAAACACTTGCTAGCTTCAGCACAAGCTATCTATAAGAGATGCATTAAAAAAAAAA